ATATAAAATTAACCTTAAGGTTGATTAATGGCTCTTTTCCTGCTTCAATTCCTGTATTTTCAAACATAAAACATTGTGGCTAGTGATGCTACACATTCATATTAGTTACGTTGGTCCTTACCATGTGATATTAGTTGAACAATAACTGGAACTGTAATGCCTGAATATGAATCCCCAGAAACATAGAAAGGGTTCAAAATGAATTCTGGATGACTAATAAGCCACTGCATAATAAATTGCGAGTTAGTTCACAATACATCTATGTTATATTTGATTACTACTTATTAATGTCTTCATTTCCTTATGGTTCATCTTCAGCCTAATGATGAGATGACCCTAGATAGGAAGGTGCGGAGGTTGAGTTTGTTATCATACTTTTATGTGAGAGAGGCAGAGTCTAGTCTCATGTTCTCATCCTATCCTCTCCAGATGCCACGTCACCACGTGTGGGATTTCATTGGGTATGTTAGTATGTTTGATTTCCTCATGGCACATTCATCCACCACTAGATACATATGTATCTTAAGTTCATGAACTTGGTACAATTTATCAAATACCTTTCTTAGAAATTCATAGACCTGGTCACACGCTTGTAGATCAGTACACTTGCATGCCTTTGAAGTTGTTGCATACGAGAACCCAGTGTTAGCAGGCTGCTCCAAGAAAAGTATGCTCGCGAACTACCAAATTTATGGAATACATTTATTATATATGCTCGCGAACTACCAAATTTATGTATGTTGATGAAGAAAAAATAAAAAAAATTGTGTTACCTTGGTCCATGAATATGGACTTGAAACAAGAATTGGTAGGCTACCATTGTATGCCTTTTGGCAAAAATCCAATGGACCTAAACAAAAAAATTATCATGAACCTAGGTAACATGATATAACTAACATTCTATCACACGTTAAATTTGATATTTAATATTTACCTACTTCGTACGCCAACCCTGTGAAGGAAGAGCAACCGGGACCTCCGGTTAGCCATAGCAAGAGCGGATCTTTTCTCGGGTCGGATTCGGATTTAACAAAGTAATAGAATAGTTGTACTTCCTCAGATTTACCAATTCCAATGTATCTGAGAATTTCAAAATTCATCACTTCAACAATTTTTTGAAACTAGTAAATAGATATTATGTTATGAAAATACTATTACTACTATCATATCATTTTTTGCTATTCAAAAGCTAAAACAAATTTTCATGTTTCAATTTATTTGACATAGTAATTTGATCGAGCACAAAGTTTTATCAACAAACTAAAGTAAGACATTTCAACCTTCTTGTATTAAATTAAATGTCATTATATTTTTGCGTGATTAGAAAAGACTGTTTGACTAAGTTTATATGTTAGCCAAATTAACTAAAAATCACTTATTGACTTATTTACGCATTGGTCATCAACCAAAATGCTTATAAGTCAAAATCAATTGAAAGTCATAAATTGATGAGCTTATAAACACTATTTGTTTGATTCACATTTTTTTATTACTTTATCTGATATTTTTTCTAGTTCTCAAAATATCTTTTTCAAAACAAAATTCCTAACTTCCTCCTACTTTTTTTTCTTTATAAAAATATAACAAAAATTGTAAGAGTATTTTCGTTATTTGAACAACACCTTCTACCAAACACATCAAATCAATTGTTTATTATAAGTTGCGTCATTTTAATTTTATATAACAATAAAAGAAAATCTCACCCTACCAAACACATCAAATCAATTGGAGTATAAGTTTTGTCACTTTTATTCAAACAAATAATTGTTTATTAATAAAATTAATATATTTTTTAATTTCTAAAATTTATTCACTATTTACAATTAGCTAATCCGAACAAACTCTAAACCTTTTAAAACCTTATGATGCTGGATACATCATAATATTTATGTAGCTATAAGACTGTTGAACATGACACATGAAAAAACATTAAAGCTTTATATTGATGACACATAAACAGGGACCGAGTTAGGTGGGGTTCATGGGTTTAGACAAATCTAATAGCTTTTTCGTAGACCTAACACTTAACAAAACTGATTGACAACTCAATAGTAAGGAAGGAGAAGGAAATTTAGAACCCCAAACTCATAATACCGGCTCCGCCTCTGCACATAAAAGTATATATAGATAATTATAGAGACATTAAAGAGAAGAAAATTACCCAGTCTCAAGATAAAAAGGAAGAGGTCCATCAAAACCAGGAAGAAATTCAACAATTGAGCTATTCTGAGGAACACTTTGTACATGAACAAACAAAGTAACAAGAAAGAAAAGATAAAACATTGTTGATGAAATAATAATAGATAAGTTCTGAGGATTTTAGGTGATTTTAATGAATTTATATGTTGAATTGTCCGTCCACACATATATAATTTATGTGTGTTATTTATTTTTTCCAAAAGTTGAAATCGACTTTGATTTAAGATGTGTTACAACTCATTTTGTTTTGATATTTCTGCATAACTACTAGGATGTAATTACAACTCAAATAATTATATAATATATTTTTTCAGTTTCAATTTATGTAATGTTATGAGACTGAACATGTAGTTTAAGAAATATAAGGAAGACTTTTGAATGTTTTTAAAACTACTCTTGAAATAAATAAACTTTCAAATAGAAGAGTATACCTTTTGTAGACTTTTGCCAAATAAGTAGAACCCAACATGAATAAAATATTGATGTGTCACTAAATATTTGTCAAATAAAAACAATACTATTAGAACTAACGAAAGTTTATCACATAGAGACCGGAAATTAACTATAAAAATGTTTATTTTTCACACCATATAATATACTCCACGTGGCATGTTTGGATAAGCTAAGGTCTATTTTACTATTGAATTAATAATATTTTCTATGCATAGGTTTATTTTACTATTGAATTAGTAATATTTTCTATGGTACACAACACGCCATTCCAATAGTGTTCAATTCGATTACTCTAACGTTAGCTCTAATTTCTATGGTACAAGAAATCTAAGAAGGCAAATGTCAATCCAAACAGAGGTGAACCCACATATTTAGGTAGGATTTTACGTGTAATCGTTAACTTTGAAAAAAATCATGTATATATATCTTGAGAAACTGATAAAAACTAAATATAATTAATAGTGGCTCCATAGAAAGCATGAAATTGTGCTTTGTACCAAATTGGAAGATCCGCCAGGCGACTAGAGTTCCCCTCAATGGCACTAATAAGCACACAAGACACATAGGTATAGGGATGCCTGTTTTACTAGGCGCGATAGAATACTCAACCAAGCATTCAGCTCGATGGATTACTCCCGCACCAGATAGTTCTCAGCTATCCCAGATAGTAGAACCTCTTTTTTAGCTTAATATTGGTGCATCCAAAATTTTCAAATCCTAAGTTTGCCTCTGAATTCTTTGTGTTGAGCAAAGGAAAAGTAATATGTTGTGAGATGTATAGAGGATGAGAAGTATCATGTTGTAGTTAAAAAATATTATATTGTGTTTATATTTTAAGTCGGAGGTTATTTGAAGTCTCCAACTTATTCACTATACAAAAGAGAGTATGTTTATATTAAAGGAAGATGTTCTTTTTTTTGGCAGACCTTTGTCGTCCTCTTCAACTAATTCGGAGTTATTTGAGTCACACACATTGAGTTATTATCATGGGGGAAACAAGACAAGTCTAGGATTAATGTTGATACGGTGAAAATTATACCGCAATGGCCCCCGAAATTTAGATCTCCTAAAAGAGAGCGATATATGTACACCTCAACATGAGTATTTATTTACTTATTTATTTTTGTTCATCTTATTTTCGACTATATTTATGATATATTCATTTATTTTTTTTACTTTTAAGTAAGTAAGACACTATTCTCTTTCCTTTCGACATCAAGATAATTGATGAAGATGGTGCTCTGAACATTTTCGCTGAAGTCGAACAATAGACAATGAATTTGATATTCCATTTATGGAACTTGTTTTTACAATTTTCACTAAAAAAAATAATCCTAGAAACAAAAAATATTTTTTCAAAATATTATGATTAATTAAATTAAAAAATATTTTCCACAATACCAAGCACACCCTTTTTGCTATTTAATTTTGACAGGAAAAAGTCACACATAACCTCAAAATAAGTATATATATAGGAAGTAGAAGTACTCACCCCACATTTAAAAGTATGCATATATATTGTTTTATTTGAAATATTATACTAGACTAGTTTTAAGAGTCGCCACTTAATTTTTAAAGAAAAATCAAGAAAACTATTTTTTCAAAAGATTAAAACAGAAATCTAAAAATGTTAAAAGGGGTTCGGGGTTCATATTAGCATTTCGGGAAGGATTTGAAAGCACCCAAAATGCTTGCTAACATGCGATGATCCGGTAATTAACTATTTGACTAATTATTTTAAAAGATAAACAAACTCTTAATACTGATGACATTTTGAGGGAAAAAGGAAAGATATCTAATATGCCTAAGTAAATATTTCAAAGTATTTTCGAAAGTCAAGTAAAAAATAGATATTTAATTTTGGATAACTAAATCAAAATGGCTATCCTTTGGGGAATTGAATTATGAAACCTTAAAACTACTTAAACACATAATCAAGCAATAACAACAACAACAACATTCCCAGTGAAATCCCACTAGGTGGGGTCTGGGGAGGGTAAAGTGTACGCAGACCTTACCACTACCTCGTGGAGGTAGAGAGGCTGTTTCCGGAAGACCCTCAGCTCAAGTGTAACAAAGCCAAGTACAGGAAGAGAATTATATAAAGCATAACATCCAATAAGAAAAATAGTGCATAATCAACAAAGGGGGCAATACATCAAGAAAATAATGTGAGAAGTGAAACGCAGTAAACAACATAAGGCTATAGGAATCACAGACAAGAACTACAAGTGTAAGGCTAAGACTACTACAAACGCTAACAACCCATACCCTCGCCAGGAAAGACAACACGCTAACCCTACTAGCCTTCAACCTTATACGTGACCTCCACTCCTTCCTATCTAGAGTCATGTCCTTGGTAATGTGTAGTTCTTCACATGTCTAAACCATCTCAGTCTCGCTTCCCTCAGCTTGTCCACCACAGAGGCCACTCCCACCTTCTCCCGGATAACCTCATTCCTAATCTTATCGCTCCTAGTGTGCCCACACATCCATCTCAACATCCTCATCTCCGCAACATGCATTTTCTGAACATGTGAGTTCTTGACTGGCCAACACTCCGCTCCATACAACAAGGACGGTCTAACTACCACTCTGTAGAACTTACCTTTAAGTTTAGGCGGGATTTTCTTATCACACAAGACTCCAGAGGCAAGCCTCCATTTCATCCAAGCAGCCCCAATGCGATGTGTGACATCATCGTCGATGTCACCACTTTCTTGGATTACAGACCCAAGATACTTAAAACTTTCTTTCTTAGGAATGATCTGTGTGGCAAGTCTCACATCCACATCTGCCTCATCCAATGCATCACTGAATTTGCACCCCAAATATTCTGTTTTGGTCCTACTCAACCTGAACCCTTTGGACTCCAGCGTTTGTCTCCACACCTCCAACCTCGCATTAACTCTGTCCCGCGTCTCATCAATCAGTACTATGTCATCCGCAAATAACATACACCATGGGACATTCTCCTGAACGGACCGCGTCAACTCATCCATCACCAAAGCAAATAGAAAAGGGCTAAGGACTGATCCCTGGTGCAACCCCATCTCAACTGGGAAATGTTCCGAGTCTCCTCCAACCGTTCTAACCCGAGTCTTGGCTCTACCGTACATGTCCTTTATCGCCCTAATATAAATCATCGGGACACCTTTAGCCTCCAAGCACCTCCAGAGGACATTCTTTGGCACCTTGTCATATGCCTTTTCAAGGTCAATGCAATAACAATAAAAAAAAAAGAAATAAAGAAAAAAGGAAAGGTTTGGGCCTAAGTCTGATTTTGTCCGCCTGAGCCAATACTTGGGCCTAATTTATGATTTGGACCTTTGGCCCATTTTGTACCTGTCTTAAAACTAACAAAAATCCCAAAAAAAGATGGGCTTTGGCCCATTTATCTCAAGTTTTGAAGGCTTTTTGCCTCATTTTCAATGTAATATACAACATATACGGCTGATGTATATCGTTGTATATTATGCATATCCGACCCTTTAACTTGCTCCGAACACCTGTACATCAATTTTCGGGGATTTATTCTTTGATTCCATTTGGCTGGTCGACTCGAAAGGAAAGGATTTGAGCCTTTATGGCTCTCTCGAAGTGCGGAAAAAGGAAATAGGAGTTCGTGGTGAACTCGAACAGATTTATGCAACACAAAGAACGAGAATAAATAAGTAATGAATCATGATTTAATATAAGAAAATGCCAAGTAACTTGAACTTATATACTACTGCAGTTCAATTTTAAACATTGTAAAAAGACAAGGGGTATCACAATAAGGGCCTTAAATCCATATCTATGACATTTCAATAACCTTAAACAAACTAAGCCTATAGTCAAAATTGAGCAGATACAAAGCTTCAGCAATAGATAAATTAATGCCCCATCCTAAAATTTCCAATTTGAAATAATTAAGCCATGATCAACTAGTGGTCATGTGGCTTTGAATAAACCTATCACACCCAACAATAAACCAACAACAAAACAATTAAAAGAGCAAATATATTCTAGTGATAATAAGTAATAGAAAATAAATGGGTCAAAACATGCTTCTCATCACATGAAACGATAAAACTACACTTCAAAACGGAACACATGAGGCTATGAAAAAACTAGAATCCTAGAAACAGTCTACTATAAACAACATTTAACTTATCTTGACAAAGTAATACACATAAACAATCTTTTCCTTCTTAACCAACAGTGAACTCCTAATAATGAGGTAAAGGTGAACACCCTATGCTCTCATGCAGTTAAGCAAGATAGCAAATAACTTATGTGATACAAAAATGAACCTAAATGCTTTAACATGCACAAATCAATCAAAATAATATTAATAAGATAAGACAGGAGTTCACATAATTCCCAGACATGAACAATGAAGGGATTTTAACACCTGCAAATTAATGAAGGAATGTGGGAAAGGATAGACATGTTTTAGCATATTTATAAGACATAAGTCTAGCCACAAGATGATAATGAGACTAACAAATCAAGGATTTTAAAAAAAAAAATGGAGGAAGAACAGGCTACTGCCTCCAACAAACAATAAATAATGTAACATACAAACTCCACATCGACTAGCTTAAGATTCTGCCTCTAATACTTACGAAAACAACAACAACATTCACAAGAGCACGCCTTATGTCTCAAACAACCAAGATGCCAACTCCACCTCAATCACTCGGCTACTACATAAGCAATGAATCGATAAGAATGAAGGCAGTCGAGAAATGAAGATAAATAAATCAACAAATGAGCTTCAGCTCATCAAAACAACACATTAACTAAAGAGTCGGAATTGAAACGAAGTCTACCTTTTGAAGTGCAGCGAGCTGAGACGAGACAAGCAAGGAGACAACAACTTCTACCGACTTCGAGAGATTCCGAACAAAGCAAAGAAGCTTGAGACGGAAATTCGAAATTGGAAACCTTTAGCCTAACCACTAGAAAACCAAAAGAGAACCTTCTGATGGATTTTTATATAACTGTATTATGCCTCTCTTCTCTATATCTTTTCAATATTCTCCCTTTGTTTCTTGTCAAAAATTTCCCCAACCCAATGTAAGCTGTCTCTAACCACTAAAAAATAAAGACAAAACAACCTTAAATAGATGAAGAATAGGGTTGATTTAGGGGGGAAAATGGGTAGAATTCAAAACTTGAAATTTCAATCCCGATCGTCGTAATTGACACCCACACTAACTCTCAAGTGGGAGAACCTCTACTACAACCCAAACCAAACAACTAATCTAAAACTAACGCATTTAAGTACGAAAGCAAGTTAAATACTAAGGAAATAAATAGGGAGTTCCCATAAACTCCAACAAAAGTCTAACAAGAACTAAACAATGCGGAAGAAATAACCTAAAACCTGAAAGTCAATGTACCAAAACAATCTAAAGTTCAACAAGTCTAAATAAGAAGGGTTGCAACCCCAATCTAATGAACTAATCAACTAACTAGACCATAGTCTAAGTCCGAAATGGTGGACATAGACGAAAGGAGAACTCATGGCAGCCCGGAAGAATTGACTCATCCTTGAATTCGAACGATCACTGATCTTCTAAGCGAGGTCTGTCAGTAGCCGCTTGAAGATGCCATGTAGTTAACAAAAATAAGACCAAGTGCAGTATCAATACACAACCACAGTGATTGTTCAACACACCACAATCATGCCGGAACAGGGCTAGCAATTGATCCCATAATTATGCCGGAACGTGGAAATCGATCCAAGTTAGTTATGCCAGAACGTAGCAACAAATCTATTCAACACACCACAATCACAATTACAAGTACATGATTAAAATCATACATTTAAGTCATGATTTCATGGCAGTCATCATTCATCTATCTCATTTACAACAAGTGTGATCAATAATGCAACGTAACATTCATATACATACATGTATCATAATGAAGCAAGAACAAACATACATAACACAATCATAGAATCACAACCATCACCTACCTCGAAACAACCTTGAAACCCTAAGAAACTTGATCCTCCCTTTTTGGATTCGTTCCGCTTGTTCTTGGTCTAGAAACAATCAATATAATACAGGAATCAATAAACAATCATTAATTACTCGAATTACAAACAATTTTATGAACCCTAAATCAAACCCATGATCCTAATTATCCAAATTGGGGTTGTTTCCACCATAAAATCTATAACAAAACCCTCCCCCATCAATATTCACCTATTCTATTACGTTTTACATATCAAAAAACGGATTCGGGGAGTGAAAAACTTACATTTAGCCTCAAGAATGGTGAAAACGAGTAGGAGTCACCTGGGGTTCGTTCCTTAGCTCTAAAAATAAAAAAGTGTCAAATAAGGTCGTTTAGGGGTTTATTTACGACTTTAAGTTGCGCCTGGCCCGCCACAGCGGCCAACACCTCGCTACAGCGTCCCCGCCAAAGCGGTAAAACCCAGTGCCAAAGCGGCTTGCACGAACTAGTGAGCTATTTAAAGAATTCCAAGACACCCATTTCACAACACACCTCTAATCAACGACGATCATAAAATACCATTTACGCTAAGATCAATTCTGGGAGTTCTACTCGCCCTAATTCAATTCCATAAAGTCGTACGGGTTCTTTAACGAGTTATCTAACTACTCATGTGATCAAAATCAAAATCAACTCACCCAATTGTTACCATATTTTCCTACACCTCAAAGTCTCTGATTTCATCCAAATCTGGACTAGGTTGGGAAAATCCAAATACTACGAAAAAGTTTTTCGGCCCCAAATTTTCCCCCGTTGGATTTTCTATAACGACGGGAACAAGTCGTTACAATAGATACCAATTTACCCATCACTCATCCCCGAGTGAAAAAACTTAGGAAAAAAAATAGGCTAAGAAAGAAATGAAGTAGTACCTGAATCGACGAACAATTGGGGATACTTCTCTCGCATGTCCCTCTCGGTTTCCCAAGTAGCTTCCTCAACTGGATGATGCTTCCATTGAACCTTCACAGACTTAATCTCCTTGGTCCTCAACTTGTGCACATCACGATCAAGAATTGCAATCGGTTCCTCCTCATATTGGAAGTCCTTGTTTAACACAATTGAGTCCCACTTAATGATATAATCCCCGTCACCATGATACCTCTTCAACATGGACACATGAAATACTGTATGAACACTCAATAGATTAGGAGGTAAAGCCAATCTATACGCCACCGGTCCTACATATTCAAGAATCTCAAGTGGACCAATGTATCTAGGACTTAACTTACTCTTCTTACCAAATCTCATCACCCATTTCATGGGTGATACCTTAAGAAGAACATTTTCATCAAATTGAAACGCCATGTCTCTTACCTTATGATCCACATACATTTTTTGTCTACTCTGGGCTGCTAAAAGCTTAGCTTGAATAATTCTCACCTCATCTTGAGCATCATTCACTAAATCAACCCCCAATGGTTTCACATCTCTAACCTCAAACCATCTTATGGGTGATTAACTTCCTCTCCCATAAAGTGCCACGAATGGAGCCATATATGATAACTATTGTTATAAGAGAATTCACACAAAGGTAAGAATTTATCCCAATGCCCTCCAAAATCAATCACACATGCCCTCAACATGTCTTCTAACACTTGAATAGTCCTCTCTGACCGCCCATCTGTCTGTGGATGAAAGGTTGTACTAAAAGTGAGTTATGTACCCAATTCATTATGCAATTTCCTCCAAAACTTAGATGTGACTTGGGTACCACGATTTGAGATAATAGAAAGGGGAACCCCATGCAACCTCACTATCTCTTTCACATAAATTTTAGCCAACTGTTCAACATTATAATCTATTCTTACCGAAATAAAATGGGATGACTTAGTCAATCCATCAACCACTACCCAAATAGAATCAAACTTCCCCAAAGTCTTGGGAAGACGAACCACAAAATCCATGGATATTTTTTCCCACTTCCATTCCGGAATTGACAATCTTTGAAGCAAACTTGCGGGCCTTTGGTGTTCATATTTCACTTATTGGCAATTTTGACACTTTGCCACAAACTACGCTATGTTCTTCTTCATGCCCGGCCACCAATAAATTCACTTCAAATCTCGGTACATCTTGGTCACACCTGGATGAATAAAATATCGCGAACCATGAGGCTATGCCAACAATTTATCAATCAAATTTTCTACTCTAGGAACACATATTTTCCCTTTAAAATTGAGCACACCATCCGCATCAAGAGTGGTCTCTTGTGCCTTACCAATCACAGTTTCTTTCTAATCTCCTCCAAATTTTCATCTTCAAATTGTTTGGCCTTGATCTGCTCTATGAATGTGGCCCTTACATCAATACTAGCTAACACCCACCTCTTTCTGAGATGCCCAATTGCATGAATTTAGACTCCAAGGTCTGAATTTCTTTAGCCAAAGGTCGCTTGGTTATACTTAAACAATCTAAACTACCCATACTCACCGCTTTTCGACTCAAAGTGTCTGCCACCACATTAGCCTTTCCCGGATGGTATTGAATGGTCACATCATAATATTTAAGTAACTCCATCCACCTTCGATGTCTCAAATTTAGATCATTTTGAGTGAACACATGCTGCAAACTACAATGATCAGTAAATACCTCACACTTAACACCATAGAGGTAATGTCGCCAGATCTTAAGAGCAAACACTACCACTGCCAACTCTAAATCATGTGTAAGATAATTCCTCTCATGCACCTTCAATTGACGCAAGACATAAGCTATAACATTCTTATCTTGCATCAACACATCACCCAAACCAGAATGTGAAGCATCACAATAAACAATAAAATCCTTACCTTCCACTAGTAATGTTAGGATAGGCGCGGTGGTCAAGAGAGTCTTGAGCTTTTGGAAGCTCTCCTCACATTTTTCAGTCCATTCAAATGGTATATCCTTTTTGGTCAAATTAGTCAAGTGAGTGACAATAGAAGCAAAGTTCTTCACAAATCGACGATATAGCTAGCGAGCCCAATAAAACTCCTAACTTCCGTCACAGAGCTAGGACGAACCCAATTCTTAACCGTCTCAATCTTTTGAGGCTCTACCATTACCCCTTATTTTGAAACTACATGTCCCAAAAATGCAATCGAAGTCAACCAAATTTTGCACTTAGAAAATTTAGCATACAATCTTTGCTTCCTAAGAATACCCAAAATAATACGAAGATGGTCGGCATGATCTTTCTCACTTTTCGAATAAACCAAAATATCATCAATAAAGACTATGATGAAAGATTCAAGAAATGACTTGAACACCCTATTCATTAAACTCATTAAAGTTGCAGGCGCATTAGTCAAACCAAAACACAGAACCAAAAACTCCTAGAGCCCATAGCGAGTTCTAAACGCCGTCTTGGGCACATCCTCATGCCTAATTTTAAGTTGATGGTAACCGAATCTTAGAGAAAACTGTTGCACCTTGCAATTGGTCAAAGAGATCATTTATTCGAGGCAAATGATACTTGTTTCGAATAGTGACTCTATTCAATTGTTGGTAATCTATACACATTCCCATACTACCATCCTTTTTCTTAACGAACAAAACTGGAGCATCCCATTAGAAAGCACTACGGGGAATAAATCCCTTAGTGAGAAGCTCTTGGATTTGAGGCTTAAGCTCTCTTAATTCTGCCGGTGCCATGCGATATGGAGGGATGGAAATGAGACGAGTACTAGGCTCTAAATCAATGCAAAAGTCTATATCTCTATCTGGAGGCATACCAGACAAGTCATTAGGAAACACTTCTCTAAATTCTAACACCACGAAAATAGACTCAATGGATGAAGCTTCAATCTCAACATCCCTAATATGAGCCAAATAAGCCAAACAACCCTTCTCTACTAAATTACTAGCCCGAATGGAGGATATAATCTTAGCTTGCTTAAGCTTGTACACCCCTTCCACTCTAGTTTTTCCCTTCCCGAAATTTCTAGAGTTACAGACTTAGTATTACAATTTAACACAACATAATAGTGGGGACAACCAAGTCATGCCTAAGATTATATCAAATTCAATCATATGCAAAATCACCAAATCAGCCCAAGTCTGAAAACTCATAAACAAAATAGGACAAGCACGATAGAAATGGGTAACTATAACTGACTCTCCAACTGGGGTAGAAAAATGAATATGGGCATAAAAAATATCACAAATCATATCAAATTCTAAGGTAAATTTCACGAATACATATGAATAAGTAGAACTCGGATCAAACAACATATTAGCCATCCGGTCACAGACAAGAATAGTACATGTGATCACCGCGTCAGACGTCTTTGCCTCATTCTTGCCCGAAGAAGCATAACATTGAGCCCTATCATCTTGACGAGCCACTTCCCTACCTGGTTACACGTTACCCATAACTCTGCGGCCTCGTTGATTATCTCATCGCCTACCTGTGGACGTTCTCTACTGTTATTACCATTCCTCACGGGTACCACTGCTCTAGACTACTGCTGCGTGGAATCTAACACACGTGGGTGTGGACAATCTCTCTTCATATGCCTAGGTTCTCCATAATTGTAGCAAGTACGATCAAAAGATGGTATGCCGCCCGTCGAAGGCGCAACTCCCTGGATATCCTGAAAATGATGAGATGGAGTTCTTGAGTAATTACCTATAGAGACGGGCATGACAGACTGAATTGGCTTGGCTACATGCGTTGTCCTCCCTGAACCTCTCGAATAAGAACCTTGGAAGTTGCCTGAAATCTTGGCCCTTTTTGCCAAGGCCTTAGCTTGATCGTCTCGCCTCACCCCTAAGGGTGTGTATCGGTCGGTTTGGTTCGGTTTTAAGTATTATCAGTTCGGTTTATCGATTTTTGGTTTTTAAATATGCTAAACTGATAACCAAACTAATAAGATATTTGTTATCGGTTTTCGGTTTATCGGTTTTAGGTCTTTAAAGGTTCGGTTTTCGGTTTAACCAATAAGAAAATGTTTTCAAAATAAATATATGACTTATCCAATAATTTGACGCGATATGCATACATCAAAATAATCATCCCAAACGGGGGTTATCTCAACAAAGTCTTGGTTAATTTTAAATATTTACAATACTTGCCGTTGTCGCAACTCGTAAATCCTTGTCGTCACCATTCTTTAGGTTTTGAGTTTTGACCTACCTAAAGTAAATAAGTAATCCTAAAAAGTAAAACCTAAAGGTTAAATAACTAAAAGTAGAGAGGAGAGTCTGTTAAGTGTTAAGTAGTGTTAATTATTATTTATTGCGTAGGGTTTTTATATTTTTAGTCTAATATACTACTAATTATATTAATATTTTTTTATTTAATATTATATATATATATAACTAAAAAATATTATTATAATCTTAATGGGTAATCGGTTAACCCAATAACGAACCGATAACCCAATAATTTTTTTTGTAAAACCATTAAATAACCATTAACCCAATAGCAATAAACCAATAACACTTTTTTCGGTTCGGTTTATTGGTCGATTCGATTTTTGCACACCTCTATTCACCCCCTTCAGTTTCTTAACATAATATGTTACATTATTAAAGCTACTCCCTACAGAAGTCATATGAACAGATAATACTTGCAACTTAAAATTCAGTCCCCTAATAAATAAGCAGATCCTCTCCTCCTCAGTAGTCACCAATTGAGTAGCATATCTAGACAAAGCATGAAACTTGGGCTCATAAGCAGCCACAAACATACCACTTTGCTCCAAAGCCATAAATTCATCCTTCTTACAGTCTCTCAAAGTCCTAGGCACATACTTTTCTAGAAACAGAGCATGAAATTTGGTCCAAATAAGTAGAGGTAAAGTTGAAGATCTATATTCCATATAAGCTCTCCACCACTGCTTAGCCTCACCTTGAAGTTGAAAAGATACAAACTCAACCCATGCTGATGGACAATTCCCAACTTATGAAGCATCTTATAGCAATCTAAGATAAAGTCATAAGCATCTTCATTCTCAGAACCAAGAAACACATGAGGCTTAAGCTTCAAAAACTTAGTCAGCATGTCATACTCATTACCAGTCATAAATGAACCCAACAAAAGACGGAATAAAGCATGAGTACCTACGTTTCCACCCATATTGGGAGTAGTGATAGCAACAGAGGGATTAGCGGGAGCTTGAGTTGCTTGCACAGATGAAAGCATTCTAGGTCCAACCAATCCCTTCAAAAATGACATGATCTGTTAAGCTAACATTGGGTCGATGGGAGGAATACATGTAGCCTCAGCCTGCAACTCTTCCTCTTGTCCAACCTCTTCAACATTCTCAACATCAACATTCTCCTCTACCTCTTCATGATGTACTGGAGGGGACTTATTTTGGGAACAGTTTCAACCGGTACCTCATTCCTAGCAGGTGCCACCCTTCTACGGCCTCTACTCCTAGCTCTTCCTCTACCCCTGCCTCGACCGCGACCTCTCGCTGCAGATTCTTCAGCTGGAGCATTAACGGGAGCTACGGGCCTGACACCGTTGTATCTAGTGTTAACCATCTGCGGACAGAAGAGTGAAGGATGTTAGATACCAATTGGAATCAAGTTATAGCACGAAAGAAGACAAGAAAAAATAGAGAGAATTCCTAAAGTCCAATAGCCTCTCGAGGAAAAGTAAAGACGTCCGCATACCGTTCTGCAAGACTCTACTATACTCATTTGGTACATCGAGATTAACGAACCTAGGCTCTGATACCAACTTTGTCACGACCCCGACCGTCATGATTGGCACCCACACTAACTCTCTAGTGGGAGAACCTCTACTACAACCCAAACCAAGCAACTAATCTAAAACTAAGGCATTTAAGTACGGGAACAAGTTAAATACTAAGGAAATAAATAGGGAGTTCCCATAAACTCCAACAAAAGTCTAACAAGAACTAAACAATGCGAAAGAAATAACATAAAACCTGAAAGTCAATGTACCAAAGCAACTCCAATCTAATTAACTAATCAACTAACTAGAACATAATCTAAGTCCAAAAATGGTGGACATAGAAAGGAGAACTCATGGCAGCCCGGAAGAATTGACTCACCCTTGAATTCAAACTATAACTGATCTCTTAAGCGAGGTATGTCAGTAGCCGCTTGAAGATGCCTTATACTTAACAAAAATAAGAGCAAGTGCAATATCAGTACACAACCAAAGTGTACTGGTTGGATCACGCGGTTATCCCACTAAGTGCAACATACATAAGTCAATACAACATTATAAACATGCAAAATACCGAACATATACAATATCGATTATCACATGCTCAACAATATACACAATTATGACAAGTCATTGGTCCTCTCATGAAACCCAAACCCAAACAGTTAGTATACCAGAACGTGGTACCCGATCTAATGTTTATCCCAAAACGTGGCAATCGATCACATAATTATTCCGTAACGTGGCAATTGATCAAAGTTAGTTATGTCGGAACGTGGCAACAGATCCATTCAACACACCACAATCACAATCATAAGTACATGATTAAAATCATACATTTAAGTCATGATTTCATGGCAATCATCATACATGTATCATAATGAAGCAAGAACAAACATACATAACACAATCATAGAATCACAACCATCACCTACTTTGAAACAAGCTCGTATGAAATACTTTTCTAACATGGAGAGCCTCTTGAACTCTCGGGTCATTTGCCCAATAAGTGGAAAGCTTGTGTGTGGCGACCTATAATCAGAAAGTATATACATATATATTTATAATTACTTTGTATTTATGTAACTCGTCAAGGAAATTATATTTGTACTTCTATCTAAAAAGTACATATGATTCTTGTCCATTTTTTAAGGCGTTGTGAACAACATTACATGCACTGGTGTTGTTAGCGCATACAAAACTATTGATTTCCTTATGATATCCAAATGTACCTGCCAACCAGAGGCCTTTGCACCAGTGGAAATTTTCATAGCTATATCTAGTTTATCACTTTTCTTTGTTATTGGATTTTCTTACTCGAACCAAGCGGACAAGGTTCTTATTAAGGACGAGAGTATTGTTATGAACCTAGTCCAGCCTAATGTGGATATCAGGGTCACAAAAGTAGTTATTGGGCTGACAAGAGATATTGGGCCGAGAACAAGCAATAGGGTCAGGTTAATTTTGGATCCGGGTTGAGAAGTGGGTGTGGGACGATTCCATCAAAAAGGGTAGTGGTATGTGATTTGGGGATTATGCAAATTGTTAAGAAAAGAGTATGTTTTTCTCTTATCTCCCTTCTTAGTCTAAGTTTCACATCTACTTCTATCTAGCTCTATATTTTCTGATCTTCTTTCCCTCTTGTTAAGTTTTCTCAGTTTCGTTGTAAGGACGTTAGTCATTTCCATTTCTCAACTGTATTTTGTGTTCTTCAGCAATTATAATATATATCCTTGTTGTGTGGTAACTTGAGTTGTTACAAGTTACCAAAGCAAAGTTCTCCACATTTGAAATTTCTAGCGAAAACATTCTGTTTTCAGCCATGAGAACATTAAACATTGTTTGGCCTGATTTTTTTTATCTTTAATAACACATGCTCCATCATCAAACAGAATTGAATATCTATTAGCCATGAGTTGCCCAACACTCAGTAAATTATGGGCCAAACTAGGAACAAATTGAACATCATGAAAAAGCTTTACTTTACTATGAATGTTTCTTATTGCTACTGTTCCTTTTCCTTCAGCTTGAAGACAATTGTTATCACCAAGCCTGACAGTCAATTTTAGTGTCTCATCAAGTTCTTTGAAGATTTACTTCATACCTGACATATGGTTGGAGCAGCCGCTATCTACAAACCACATATCACCTGCAACTACATTAGTATCACGATAAGCCATGAACAACTTACTTTCTTCATTAGTTGTATCTGCATAATTCGCTTGTTTCTCCTTGTAACAGAAATCAGCTTGCACATGCCCGAACTTCTTGTAGAGGTGACATTGTTTGTTACTTCTATTGCATCTTTTCTCATTGAAGTATCTCTGTTCAAAGCCTTTGCCTCGACCTCAACCTTGACTATTTCCATGAAATGCATGCCCCGTCCTCTTCCTGTCGGTGCCTTTTCATGATCTCTTGAATTTGGTGCCTCCACCTTAGATTGAAATGCTTTTTCTTCCTGCATTTTTGTTGACCTGTTTATCCTTGCCTCATGGGCTTGTAAAGAACCCATCAATTCATCGAATGAAAATTTTGACAAATCTTTGGACTCCTCAATTGTAGCCACAACATGATCAAACTTAGGAGTTAAACTCCTTAAAGATATTTCAACAACAGTTTGATCAGTTATTTGGTCTCCGTATGACCTCATTTGACTAATAATAGCCATTCTTCTAGACAAAATCTTGCACATGTTCATTTCCTTTCATCATTAAAGATTCAAACACATGTCGAAGAATTTGAAGTTTTACAACTATTACCTTTGATGAGCCTTGAAATTTTATTTGCGAAATTCTCCATGTTTGCCTCGAAGTGGTGGCTGCTGCAATTCGGGAAAACACTGTCTCATGGACTGCTTGTTGAATAAAGAACAATGTCTTTACGTCCTTCTTTCAGTTTTCCTTCAGTCGCTACGCTTTATCCGGATCTGCATACCTAGTCTCTATCAAGTCCCAAAGATCTTAAGACTTAAATAAAGTCTTCATCTTGATGTTCCAGAACTAATAGCTTTGTCCCGTAAAAATAGGTATGACTGACTAAGATATGTTCAGAGAACTTCCATTGGAAGCCATGGTGTTTTTCTGTTAATAGGTCGACTGAATCTAAGCGTGATCTGATACCATAAATTTTGGATAACACAGATCTCAAGCTCATTCAAGAACCAAAATATTGGAAAGGAAAAAAAATAATTAACAGGAAAAAAGTGTTCTTGAACTGTAAGCTTCTGTTTCTTGTTATCTTCATCACTGGCTGAAATATGTTTAGAGAACTTTCATTGGAAGCCATGGTGTTTTTCTGTTAATAGGTCACCTGAATCTAAGCGTGCTCTGATACCACAAATATTGGAGAACACAGATCTCAAGCTCACTTAAAAACCAAAATATTGGAAAGGAAAAAAAAACTAGCAGGCAGAAAGTGTTCTTGAACTGTAAGGTTCTGTTTCTTGTTATCTTCATCATCAATGATACCTTTTTAATAGGCTTACAACCCAACTAAAATGCAGAATTAAAAGAGCACTAGCTCAGTAGTGCTTTCAACAAAAAAGAGAAACTTAAGGACCAACTTACAACTTTCCTAGACTAAGTCAAAGTCCAATAAAATACTAAAAGAAAGCTGCAATAACTTTTCTCTTCTTTTGTTTGAATCATTTATTCAACAGGGGGGAGGGTAAGTAATAGGACCTTAGTTTAGTTAAGATATGTCTTTGGGATTTTGATCATAGTTTAGGGATAGATGAGCCTTATCCCTTATATATATATATATTGTTATTTTATGTTTTTTTATACTATCATGTAATCATATCATTGAAATAATATATTATTTATGGATAAAAAAATTTAAAACTATATATGGATTTATAATTTTATTTATAAATAGGAAAGAGTATTTTCTAGAATAAATAAATTAAAGGTGACATGATGGTATAAAATACATTACACGAATGGTAGAATATATACAACCTATAATTTGTTTGATTAAGTTTACTGAAAGCTAAAATTGGTTATAAGAAAATACTTATTTTAAAAAGTTGATGTGTCTGATCAAACATTTTTAAAAACAAAAATTATTTGTGAATACTAGCAAAAGCTTAAAAAAAATAGTTTTTTTCCAGAAGCACTTTTTAAAAAATTCGTCAAACACAAAATTATTGCTCTAATATCAATTTTTTTTAAAAAAAAATTGTTTGTCAATAGTAGCAAAATCTGAAAAAATATTTTTTCTCCATGAGTACTTTTTGAAAGTTTCGCCAAACATGAATTCAAGGTAGAGTTAAGAGTTAAGTCTTGAGAGTTATTCCGAGTCATTTTGAAAAATCTTTATTTCAATCTTTTTAAAACTTGTTTTAAGACTTGAGTACTTGAGTTGAAGGATGAGTAAAATTGAGTTCATTTTTCAAAATGAATATGTGGGAACTAAGTATTCCCAAAGAGTAAATGTTTTTACATTTAAGATGAGAGGAAACATCGATTTCCCAAAAAGTTCATGAGCAGTTTTGAGTACTATCTCTTTTTAGAGAAATCTTTGGAATAATAATCTCAAAGTTGAGGATGAGGAATGTTTTCTTTAAAACATATGACCTAAGTTATATTTTGAGAGTAGTATTGAGCACCGATATGGGGGAGAGTTCAAATAACTCACAGCCCCCATAAACCATGTAGCCAACGTGGGTAGAAAGGGTCATACTTTTTAGATGATTCTTTATTGCTTTTTAAGCATAGCTTAGTGGATCCACTTAGTTGAGGAGTTCTATACCCCGGCAAAGGTATATGACAGTTCTGGCAGCGTGGGCGAGACGCTGGATCATCACATAGCTCATAGTGATGGTTGTCGATTAGAGAATCTCCTAAACAGAGTTTATTTTGCATTTTTACATACAAACTGAGTTATTATTGTATTTTTCAATACATTGAGTTACTATCTACTATTTTTTTTAAAGCTTTTCTTTATATTGTATCTTTATCACTGCTTTATATTGAAATGAGTTGAGACTGAGTTGAGGTTGAGTTGAGTTGAGACGAGGTAAGTTGTTTCTTCAGTTCCAGTTCAAGCTTATGTCATGCTTTAGCTTTCCACTTACATGCTCCTACATTTAATGAACTGATGCCAATTGGCCTGCATCGTTTCATGATGTAGATACAGGAGATCAGGGTTATCAACAGGCGATTCATTGATACCAATTGTAGTTTCAGAGTTATTGGTAAGCCTCATTGCTTTCGGAGGATCCCTTATTTATTTTTGTCTATTTCAGTTTTGTTAGGATGATCGGGGGTCTTGTCCCGACATCCCTCATAGTATTAGAGGCTTCATAGATAAATAGATAGTAGTAGTTCATGAGTCTTTTTTCATTTCCTTTGTTAAATGTTGAGACATGAGTTGCCCTTGTTGCCAGTTTGAATATTTTTAAATATTTTGAGTTTAAGTAGTGAGACTTTTGAGTTAAAGCTTTCATTTGAGTTTATCTACTGTTGAGTAAGTCTTCCGCTGAGAGTTGAGCCAGGTTAAGGGTTCGCCTGGGGCCAACAATGGTTCTCAAGCGTCGGCCACATCCAGGGTGTAGGCTCGAGGTGTGACATGCCTATAGAGGTATAGTTATATTTTCATGGTAATTCAAAGAAATAAATACGAAACTAATTAAAGATTACAAGGGTTTCTTCTTCTTCTTCTTCTGAAATAATTAATATATTAATTCATTACGGACATGATATATCTAAAAAGATTACAAAGGTTGTTGGGCTATCCATCTTTTAAACATATGGAAGCTCTCTTTGTGTTTGTCCTCTGGAGCTGTGTGTCCTCCTCCCTAATTGAAAAAAAAAAGACATTTGAAAAATATGAGAATATGAGCACTAGACGATTTTACTATTGAGTTTGAGAGCCAATATATATAAATATATAAATGAGTGTACAAAATTCTTGCCTTTACTGTTGCGTATGTCATATGATTTGAGAAAGACCTTGTGTAACTATAAATCAAAGATATATAAGAATTTCATGAAAATTGTATAGTCTTATCTAATTTAAATGAAAATCTAGGGAAGTAAAATTTTAATAGTCATACCCTGCAACTTGTCCATCAACCATCCATGGACGCCAATCATCAATAACTTATCCATGCTTGTGTCGATTGGAAAGGAACAAGCATGTCATGATCACCACTGTTCAATAAAAAATAAATTGTTATGTATATACTATACATAGTAACTTCAGCTAAATATTATCATAGAGTGAAAGTATTAGACCTGTATATAAGTGATCGATAACCTTTTGAACTAAGGGTTACATGATACGGTATACTAATCATGAAAGTAATTGTGTAACTTGTAGACAAAATACTATTCCTACATCTCAACCATGGTCTTTTATAGTTCCCTAATCAAATAAGAACGACAAAAAAATCTTTTAATATCTCGAACCATATATATAGCTCTTAGCAACATTTACTATACATATACAAATAAAACGAATTGAAATACCTTTCTAACATGGAGAGCCTCTTGAACTCTCGGGTCATTTGCCCAATAAGTGGAAAGCTTGTGTGTGGCGACCTATAATCAGAAAGTATATACATATATATATTTATAATTACCTTGTATTTATGTAACTCGTCAAGGAAAACAAGACGTATGCTTCTTTCATACAATGAGATTGATTATTGCATATATACTTGATCATTATGTGTACGAGTATTTAGAGGTGGCTCCAAAATTTGAAGTTATTGAATATTCATACTTTGAAGTAACATTTGAGAGACTTACACGACTTTCTCGACAGATGAAGTCATCGTATTTTTGAAAGATGAAATCCTCTTCAAGAGACCTTCTTTCGCTAGACAATTGGTGTGGTCGGTCAGAATCTGTTCCACAGAAAGGCTATAGTATTTGCTGATCATTTATACCACTCACAAGCTACAAAATTGCATTACTAGAATATATTGTATTACCTAAGTTTGAAAACCAATTCGAAAATGTTACAAATACAAAGAGGAATGTAAGCTTACATTCTTGAACATTTTAAAGTTTTCAACACATAGTTTGTTGGTAGGATATATGTTTTTTTTTTCTGTTCTTTCAAGTAATCAAGACTTATCTCGATAGATTATTTCATTTCATATCATAAATGTTGCATAGACAATAATTATTCTTTTAATTTGTAACTGTGGTTACTCTTTTTTTTATACCACTAGACAGTGGTCTAGTGGCTTTTTATTAATAATAAACATAAAAAAGTCTCAATAGGATTAAGTACAAGCAAGGGAGGCTAGGCCTTCCTTACCAATCCTAATGAGATACCTATCCTCTACTAATTAACAATCATGAAGAAAATACCAGCTAGAGAGAACTAGATATTCTATGATCATCATAAAATTTATAATACACTCTATGATGATATTACAAGTGAGGATTCTTAAGTAATAAAAAATCATAAAAGCCAAGGAAAAAGTTGAGTTATCAACCTCAAACTTTCTTTTACAAATGTATGAACCAAAAAGATAGATTGGCCTTCTAAAGGAACTTGAGGTATGTTTCTCTTGTCTTCTTCTTCAAATCTGTCCAATAACACTTGGTAGTTCATCACTTCTTGGCTTTATTGGATCTTGTTAAAGTTGTTGACACTATCATATGATTCTGTTTCGCCAGTCGCATCGGTAGGTGCCTTGGAACAAACTCCTCAGTCACTTTACCATCCCAACTATGCTTTCTTCCATGCTTCGTTTTGTTGTTGCGTTGATGCCTAGGAGAAATATCAGCATTCCTAGCTGCAATTGCAAAACAATAATCCAACATTTCCTCTTCCTCACCTTCCTCATAGATGTCCTCATCATCTAGATTAGCAAATTTATTTGGGGACAAAGTACTACTACAACCAAATTGTAGTTGTTTGTTAGTGTTAATAGGTGTAAGAGAAGCCAATTTTTTAATATTAGAACTCCCCAAATGATCACTTAAGATTGCAACAACATTTGTTGATGATGACAAACCTTGTCGGGGAGTTACTAACTTGGCACCACTAGGCACAAAAGCAGGAGCTGTTGGGCTCAATTTCTTTTGCATAGGAGGGGAATTGACTTGCTCTTCCTCTTCATCTGTTATATCTCCCCACCTCGGAGTACTTGTCGCACCCTATTGTTCCTTAGAAATAACTAATTCATTTGTAGAGTTAACTTGAGATGAATTGATCTCATGCACAATATTATTCGTAAGAGCATCAAAAGTGTTAAAACACGAGACCTCCTTTGGAACAATTTCTCGAGCACCTGAATTCATAGTTTGACTATCTACAACCGGTTACGAATAAGCGAACCAATTCCAATACTTGGAGATTTTTTCTTCGTCACCACAGCCCAATTAGATTTATGTACCAGTTCCACTCCTTTACCTGTACTGTTGGCATTCATCAAGGCGATTGAATTAGTTCCGTCATCACTTTCAAAAAATTTATTGGCATTGTTGACCTGCTGCGACATGTTGTCAACCAAGCATTCAACACTTTCAACACCCGGAGCATCATGTTTCACTCCATCTGCCACTACCTTCACACTCATGGGATCTAATGCCAACTCAACGGTTGCGTTAATTACCAAAGGATGTCCTGATTTTCCAAAAAGCACTACGTCATAATCTATTGTCAACGCCGCGGCGATTGTAGCTGCATTATTTTGGCCCTCATCATTAATGTGAACTAGCTAGAGTGGGATTTGTAGTCAAAGAAAGTTGATTTTCATTCAAATTTTTCTCCATTGTTTCAGTAGCTCCAACTTTAATCCTTGATGAATGGACATCATGAACAATATTAGAATCAATCTGCAGAAAACCATTTTTTCCACTTTTGTTATTAATGCTTTTTTCTCCGGTATATATACTGCCAAGCCTCACATCATCAACAACTTTCGTACCTCTTGCATATTAATTGGATCATGTGAAAACTAGAGCTTGATGTAGACCTTCTTCCATAGTGTATTGATTTATCTCTTCCACTGTGAATATTGTAATTGTAGGTTAATTCTCCATGAATGACGATATCTATAGATTTCAGCTTTAGTTTTGTCCAGTTTGGATTGAATTTAACATAAGTTGCTTCTGGATTAGAACTAATGTTTGGCACTCCCATAACCATAGGCTGGGGAGAGGATGCGGCTATCATGGATTTTCTTTAAGGCGACATTGTGGTTACTCATATGTCACGTCACGTACTTTCATGATTTTTCGTTTAAGATTAGGATCTATATATGTTGACGTATTACTTTATTACTCATATGTCAACTACCTGAGCTTTTCTTTTGTTGTTATTGTTAAAATGACGAAAATACTCTTACAATTTTTATTATCTTTATAAAGAAAAGAAGGAGCGTGAATAGGAGAAAGTTAGGAATTTTGTTTTGTAAAGTTTCAAATAAGTTCTTTAAGGAATGAATTGATAAAACTATCGATTTCTTAATATGTGTATCATTTTTCACTGTTTCTATACTATACTATTTGAGATACTTTATTCTACAGTAAATGAGAAGCTAAACAATTGACTATATGTGTGTGATTTAGACAATTCACAACTTTCAAAGGCTTATAGAGGTATAGTTATATTTTCATGGTAATTCAAAGAAATAAATATGAAATTAATTAAAGATTACTCCCTTCATTTCAAATTAATTGGATTGTTGAGGTGTTTCACACCCTTTGAGAAAAGAAAATTAAGACATAAATTAGGCATAACTTTTCATTTTTACCCTTATTAATTATTGTCAAATTTATGATTAAAATAACTAAACATTAATTAATAACTAATTCCAATGCTAACTAATGAAGGGTAAAATTGAAAGAACATTCTAAAATTAGTCTTCAAAATTGAACAATTAAGTTAATTTGAAAAATGAAAAATGTCTCAACAATTCAATTAATTTGAAATGGAGGGAGTAGAAGGGTTTCTTCTCCCTCTTCTTCTTATTCTTTCGAAATATTCATATATTAATTTGAAATGGAGAGAGTAGAAGGGTTTTTTCTCCCTCTTCTTCTTTTTCTTCCGAAATATTCATATATTAATTCATTACGGACATGATATATCTAAAAAGATTACAAAGGTTGTTGGGCTATCCATCTTTTAAACATATGGAAGCTCTCTTTGTGTTTGTCCTCTGGAGCTGTGTGTCCTCCTCCCTAATTGAAAAAAAAAAACACTTGAGAAATATGAGAATATGAGCACTAGACGATTTTACTATTAAGTTTGAGAATCAAGATATATAAATATATAAACGAGAGTGTACAAAATTTTTACCTTTACTGTTGCGTATGTCATATGATTTGAGAAAGACCTTGTGTAACTACAAATCAAAGATATATAAGAATTTCATGAAAATTGTATAGTCTTATCTAATTTGAATGAAAATCTAGGGAAGTAAAATTTGAATAATCATACCCTGCAACTTGTCCATCAACCATCCATGGACGCCAATCATCAATAGTTGAATAATTTAGATACTTTATCCATGCTTGTGTCGATTGGAAAGGAACAACCATGTCGTGATCACCACTGTTCAATAAAAAATAAATTGTTATGTATATACTATATATAGTAACTTCAACTGAATATTATCATAGAGTGAAAGTATTAGACCTGTATATAAGTGATCGATAACCTTTTGAACTAAGATTTACATGATACGGTATACTATTCATGAAAGTAATTGTGTAACTTGTAGACACAATACTATTCCTACATCTCAGCCATGGTCTTTTTATAGTTCCCTAATCAAAGAAGAACGCAAAAAAAAATCGTTTAATATCTCGAACCCCATATATAGCTCTTAGCAACATTTACTATACATATACAAATAAAACGAATTGAAATACCTTTCTAACATGGAGAGCCTCTTGAACTCTCGGGTCATTTGCCCAATAAGTGGAAATCTTGCGTGTGGCGACCTATAATCAGAAAGTATATACATATATATTTATAATTACCTTGTATTTATGTAACTCGTCAAGGAAAACAGGACGTATGTTTCTTTCATACAACGAGATTGATTATTGCATATATACTTTGATCATTATGTGTACGAGTTTTTGAGGTGGCTCCAAAATTTGAAGTTATTGAATATTCATACTTTGAAGTAACATTTGAGGGACTTACACGACTTTCTCGACAGATGAGGTCATCGTATTTTTGAAAGATGAAATCCTCTTCAAGAGACCTTCTTTCACTAGACAATTGGTGTGGTCGGTTAGAGTCTTTTCCACAGAAAGGCTCTAGTATTTGCTGTTCATTTATACCACTCACAAGCTACAAAATTGCATTACAAGAATATTATTGTAATACCTAAGTTTGAAAACCAATTCGAAAATGTTAACAAATACAAAAAGGAATGTAAGCTTACATTCTTGAACATTTTAAAGTTTTCAACACATAGTTTGTTGGTAGGACCTATGTTTATGTAATCGCCTTTGCAAAACTCGTTCAACGACTGATACAACAAGATCCAAATTATCATCATTTTTGTGTCATTGTGTTTGTATGATACAAAGTTAATGTATTATGAAATAAGGAATGGACCAACCTCATAAAGTTCGTCAGATATTAGCCCCATACCATGACAAAAAGGAATTCGGTAATTGTCTTCCTCAGGAAATGTTACTGGATTTCCAAGTGAATAGCCCTTAAAAGGATATTACCATCTAATTAAAACAATATTTTCTTCCGTGCTTGATATATCTTGAAAGAAAGAAATATAAAATTAACCTTAAGGTTGATTAATGGCTCTTTTCCTGCTTCAATTCCTGCATTTTCAAACAGAAAATATTGATGCTACTACACATTCATAATTAGTTACGTTGGTCCTTACCATCTGATATTAGTTGAACAATAACTGGAACTGTAATGCCTGAATATGAATCCCCAGAAACATAGAAAGGGTTCAAAATGAATTCTGGATGATTAATAAGCCACTGCATAATAAATCGCGTGTTACTTCACAATACATCTATGTTATTTTTGATTGCTACTTATTAGTGTCTTCATTTCCTTATGGCTCATCTTCAGCCTGATGATAGATAGTTCATGAATTTGGTACAATTTATCAAATACCTTTCTTAAAAATTCATAGGCCTGGTCGCACGCTTGTAGATCAGTACACTTGCACGCCTCTGAAGTTGTTGCGTACGAGAACCCAGTATTAGCAGGCTGATCCAAGAAAAGTATGCTCGCGAACTACAAAATTTAAGGAAAACATTTATTATATATGCTCGCGAACTAGAAAATATATGTATGTCGATGAAGAAAAAATAAAAATAAATTGTGTTACCTTGGTCCATGAATATGAACTTGAAACAAGAATTGGTAGGCTACCATTGTATGCCTTTTGGCCAAAATCCAATGGACCTAAACAAAAAAATTATCATGAACCTAGGTAACCTGATATAACTAACATGCTATCACATGTTAAATTTGATCTATTTAATATTTACCTACTTCGTACGCCAACCCTGTGAAGGAAGAGCAACCGGGCCCTCCGGTTAGCCATAGCAAGAGCGGATCTTTTCTCGGGTCGGATTCGGATTTAATAAAGTAATAAAATAGTTGTACTTCCTCAGATTTACCAATTCCAATGTATCTGAAAATTTCAAAAATTCATCACTTCAACAATTTTTTGAGACTAGTATATAGGTATTATGTTATGAAAATACTATTACTACTACCTCATCAATTTCTTGCCCTTCAAAAGCTAAAAGAAATTTTCATGTTTTAATTTATATGAGGTAGTTAGAAAAGACTATTTGACTTAAAATCACTTATGGGCTTATTTACGCATTTGGTCACCAACCAAAATACTTATAAGTCAAAATCTAAACACTATTTGTTTGATCACATTTTAAAATTATTTTATCTGATATTTTTTCTAGTTCTCAAAATATTTTTTTCAAAACAAAATTCCTAACTTTCTCCTATTCACGCTCCTTCTTTTCTTTATAAAGAAAATAAAAATTGTAAGAGTATTTTCGTCATTTTAACAACAAAAGAAAAGCTCACCAACACCTTCTACCAAACACATCAAATCAATTGTTTATTATAAGTTGTCACTTTTATTCAAATAAATAATAAATATTTGTTAATAAAATTAATATATTTTTCAATTCCTAAAATTTATTCATTATTTACAATCAACTAACTCGAACAAGCTCTAAAGCTTTTAAAACCTTATGATCTCAGATATATCATAATAAAACTGTTGAACATGACACATGAAAAAACATAGATTATATATACTAGTCAAGAAATTAAGAGGTAAAATTAAAGCTTCATATTGATGACACATAGCAGTATATATAGATAATTATAGAGACAATAAAGAGAAGAAAATTACCCAGTCTCAAGATAAAAAGGAAGAGGTCCATCAAAACCAGGAAGATATTCAACAATTGAGCTATTCTGAGGAACACTTTGTACATGTACAAACAAAGTAACAAGGAAAAGAAGATGAAACATTGTTGATGAAATAATAATTGGTAAGTTCTGAGGATTTTAGGTGATTTTAATGAATTCACACCATATAATATACTCCACGTGGCATGTTTGGATAAGATTTTCTATGGTACAAGAAAGCTAAGAAAGCACATGTTAATCCAACGGTGGATCCACATGTGTTTATGAGGGGTTGCACGTGTATCCATTAACTTTGAAAAAAATCATATATATATATATGTATATCGAACTTGAGAAACTGACAGAAACTAAATAGTGTCCCCATAGAAAACATGAAATGGAAGATCCGCCCAAAAGAGAGTATACTTATATTGAAGGAAGATGTTCTTTTTATTGGTGAAGCTTTGTCGTACTCTTCAACTAATTCAGAGTTATTTGAGTCACCCCAGTGGCGGAGCCACGTACACTTAAGGCTCAAACAAGAGTTCAACCATTCTCTAGATATGGGAATGACAAATTTTGAAGGATTCTAGTTCATTGATCAAAGAGCGAACAACTGTCAGGTCTAATGATCTAGTGCTTATGTGATTGGATCAAATATTACACAAAAAATAACAGACTAATGACTTCCAGATGCTATTATTTTTTGCGGGGTCATTTGTCACCCCTCAATGTCCACAAATTTATACTAATGAAGCTTTGGAAATATTATCGTTAGACAAATATAAATATTGAATATTATCGACTTTATTATTCAAAACTACAATTATAAGTTCAATACAAAAAAAACCTTAAAAGTTAAATCCATCACGTTTAAATCTTGAATTCACCTCTACTCCCCGCACACACTTCAAATTCACCATAACATATTCTCCTAAAACACAATTAGGATTCTATTCATCAATTCTTGCCATTCACACACTACAACTCCTTTTCATCACTAATTTCCTTGATGACATTTGTTGCCTTATTTGTTGTTGCATCACAAAATTCAAGTCCAAATTAATATCCCTCATGCTTCTTCTACATGATGCTACTCTAACTAACTCTTTATAATCTTCACTCTCATAGTTGCTAACATGACTTGTACTATAACTCCTTGGCAATGTTTGAGGATTCACCACCGCGAAATTTATCATGTTGTTCACGTAACAATCTCTTGCTTTTGTTAAAACCTTCCATGGTAATGCAAGAATTCGAAGGAATTTGTTCATGTTACTCACTTTGCTCTTCATTTTTCACCTTTTGTATGTGTGTTTGGAAATTGGAATTCAACTTAGATATTATATATGTATGAAGAAGGAGAAATTTGTGGAAAATTCAATTATTTGGAATAATTGGAATAGATGGTTATGAAGAGGAAAGTTAGAAGACTATGGGTGTGTTTGGTATGAAGGAAAATGTTTTCCATGGAAACAAGTTGATTTTTGACTTATTTTCTCATGTTTGGTTGTTGAGTAGAAAATATTTTCCAGAAAAGATATTTAGTGTTTGATTTATGAATGAATTTTTTTTTTTGAGAAATATCTTTTATTTTTAATGGGGTAGAAAAATAATTTTTGAAATTGAAAATATTTTTTAAAAGCGAACTTAAATTTTTTTGGTGGTGGGGTGGGGGGTGGTAGGGGTGAAAAATTGAAATTTTGAAGTTGAAAATATTTTTTAAAAACAAA